AGACCACAATGCGCTCTGATGGCTGTCAACACTTAAGAATCCTACAGGAAGACTCGGGTGGTGTTCATTGCGTTTGCAGGAGTACACATTCTTAGTAGTGTACAACTCTGGCGAGCTTCACAGCGAGGCCGACTGCTTATCTTGACAGCCTGTTGATCCACCCAACTCTTTTGAGTTGGAAGCCGATGACAACATCCTAGCCCTAACACATTTTCTGCACATTTTCTGATGAATCTCTACGTTGTCGACGAACAACGTAAAGATTCATCGCTGCTATCTATGATCGACCGCCTTCAATCCGGCCATAAAGGCCCTTCACTGAGTTGGTTTTTGCTTCAATACAAGGTTTTGTACTACCGCAACCTACAGCCTGATGGCGCAGAAATTTTGCTTGTCATTCCACGTCGTCTGCACAAAGAATCTTGCAAGAACTTCACAACACCCCAACTTCTGGACATTTAGGTGTCTCCAGAACCTATAACCGCGTCTGGCGACAGTTATTCTGGAAGAACCTTTATCGTTCTGTTCGCCGCTATGTTACAGTGTGTGACCTGTGCCAGCTCTAGAAAAAGCCTACCTCTCTCTCTGCCGGTCACCTTCAACCTACTGAAGTCTCAGCCGAGCCATTTCATCGGGTAGGGTTGTGTTTGTTAGGTTCCTTTCCAACATCGGCAAGGGGAAACAAATGAAACGCAGTAAATACTGTGTGGTGGTCGTGGGCTCTCACAGACAAGTTCACCAAAAGAAAACATTTATGCACGACACGATTATAATCACAAATACACACACTTTCAATAAATTGCCAAAGAATACAACATGGTAACGTTCCCTGACCCCCGTTTCTTGTGGTTTCGTAGCCTATACACGCCCTGACTCGTTCGGTACTATTGTTCGTAGACGACACTTACGGCGCCGATGACCGCATAGTCGACGCTCACTTGAAGCAGGAGAGAGGCTCGCTGACTCATCCAGCTTAGGAATGCTCCGAAGCATGATGAATCCGCGTAGCGCCGAGATCACGCCGCTGTTGGTGTTGCCAGATCGTGAACCTACACAGGTAGCCAAGGCCACGCCCTCAGCATGCGGTTCTGCCAAACCCCAGCAGACTTAGCTCCGTGGACTGATTTTGTTGCTGGTTAGTCTCGGACACCATCTGGCTCACAATCAGCAGCCCGTTCTGGCCCGCTTACACGTTCATCATAGAAACGGGCCGCAAGGCCCATCTGGAAGCCATATTTTCGCCGCAGGAAATGCCAGGCTCATTTTGGCTGGTCCGATGGCTTCATTGTGGCAACGCGCGCTCTGCCAGCGACGTTCCAAGACCCAAGTGATTCATGCTCACCTTTAGTGCGCTATTACCTCAGACTAATTATGCCACTCTGTCTGCAATGATTCGAGCACTGCCGACCAGCTTCGCAACGGATGTCGCAGATTTACTTCTCTACGTCATCCTTCAGCATGGCGCTCCTTCTCACTTACGGACCGTGACCGCTACTTCCTGTCTCATGTGGTTGACGACCTGTTTAGATCTTGTGCTAAGCAGCACAACTTTATGACTTCTTACTATGCTCAGACTAACGGACTTACTGAACGCCCCAACCGCACACTGACAAACATGCTTGCAATGTACATTTCTGACGACCACACCGATTGGGACACTGCCCTTCCGTTCGTAACCTTCACCTACAACTCGTCCCGTCTTGAAGTTGCCGGCTATGCATCATTTTATCTACTCTTTGCCGTGATCCCTTACTACCTTTCGATACCCTACTTGTGCATGACCCTCTGTCTACCACACCACTTAGGACGCTCAAGATGCCATCTCCCATTTTCTCATCGCACGTACAGTAGCCAATGCCAGGTTCTCATCGTCCCACAGTGCTCAAAAGTCACTCTATGACGGCCAACATAGGGATGTTGATTTTCCTCCGGGCTCTTTTGTGCTACTGTGACTCTCATCTTGCCGTGTCGGCCTCCACGAGAAACTCATATCTCGATATGTTGGGCCTTGCCAAGTTTTGCGCCCGGTAACACTCGTCACCTATGAAATTTTCCTGACTACGAACTCGACTGTTACATTCAGAAGTGATATTGTGCATGTTTCTTGCCTGAATCTATCACAATGACATGTCCTTCTAACAACAGCAGGCATGGGGACAGTGCTTTGCTGCCAGGGGTAATGTCGCGGGCATGGAAAGGTACCTCAGGCACGGGCGCCGAAATGGCACAGAAGGAATGAAGACGCAATGTTGTTGTGGAGCTGTGTCTGGGCTTCCTTGTTGTCCTGCATCCTTGCGCGTTATGTGCAGCATCAACCTAACCAGTGGCCACTTATTAAAAACTCTCCGTTACAATATTCATCTGTCAATTATCACTGCGAATGAGGCCACAGCAGTGGTGCCTCTGGAAACCCTGTTGTAATACCTGCAAAATACATCTGAACCTTTTGTTTGCTTGCTAGATTGCAAGGTACAGGTGCTTAGTAGATTTTTTTGATACCTAGACTCCTTCGTACGCGTAGTATTAGTTTCTGATGTGTTCTGCTTGCTCATTAAATTTCAGTGAAACTGCTTGTCCTGTGTTCTTTTTTCGTATCTATCCACTGTTTTTGCACTGGTTCAAGAATGCATAGTTTCAAACTCGTCCACGCTTCCAGCCTATTATGAAGTATCACTTGGTAACATCAGTGCGGCTGTTCTAGGAAGCTCTTGACTGCATTCTGATAATGTTCAGCTATGGGCATTAGTGGGGCTAAAACTGAAAACTGAAATCACATATGAAGCGCTACAATCTCATGTTTACTGGGATGTCTGTGGGTATATCATTGATAAAGATGAGAAAGAGGGCAGGAGCCAAAACGCTACCCAGGGGGACTCCAGAGGTGACATGAGGAAGTTTAGAACTGGTGCGGTAAAATTGTACAAATTGCGTTCGGTTCGAGAGGTAGTCTCCTATTCATCTATTTACGGTAAGGGAGATGGGCCTAAAGTTAGACTTCATTTCCTGACTTGTGAACTGGGATAATTTTTGAGATCTTCCAATCATTTAGTAGTGCACGAGTTGTTAAAGATTTTTGATAGATGATTGTTAAATAATGGGATATTTGCTTGGCATATTTCTTAAGAAATCGTTTGGTATTTTATCTGGTCTAGGTCTTTTTACTGTGTATTTTCAAAAGTAGGTGAAACACACCACTTCTGGTAATGTTCAGAGGTGCTAGAGCTATGCTGGAAGAAGGTTCAAGGTGTGGTAGGTGACCATCACCCGCTATAAAAACGGAAGGAAAGTGTTCATTCAGTACATCTGCTCTGTTTTCGTCTTCCCGTGCTGGCTCAGCACTAAGGTTGACTTTTGGCAAAAGGTAATTCCGGCATTTCTGCAGAAATGACTTCAGGAAGTTACCGGGGGTGATACGGAAGTAATTGTTTTTAGCTGCTTTTACCTTTGCTTTCATGGTTTTTATGGCTAGTGTGAGCCTATTTTTGCAAATTCGCTGAGAATTGTTTTCAAGTGTTTTCTTAGCCGGTTCACCTTTCTTTTTTCGTTGATGGTTTCACATGTAATCTAAGGATTACGTCCATTTTCTTCTTTGTACGAACAGGGACATATGTATGAATGCAGTGGAGTACAATTGATTTGAATTTTCGCCAGATAATCTCTATGTTATGGTCGGGAGCGTCGGTGAGCTGTTTGAGGGAACTCAGTTCGTAAAGAAGATAGTCGAGTATGCTGTTATAGTCTGCCTTGCTAAAATCAGAGTAAGTGGTTATTTCTTTTTGCGGTAAACTCCGATGGTGTGCATTATATTAATGGTTGTAATTTATACTTGACCTATTTAGACATATTTACTAGACTGGAGATAAAAAGAGGGGGAAATCAGAACATTAGTAAACAAAATGTTTTGTGGAAAAGCTACAATTAAAAAAAGGCAGATCCCAGGGACCATGGGAATTAATGTCATGCACGACATAGGGAGAGACAGTGACTGTGGCAGAATTTTTTTTTGCTGAACAGAACATTATGAAATTATACTTAACATTATGTACAAATGTTATAGGCCCAGACATGTATGGTAATGTTGCATATGTTTTATGTAAGCAGTTGTTTATATTTACGTAACGATGCCAAGAGCAGCATAGATATTACCATCACCAGAAGTGGTCGGATAAAATATAGCGCTTGTGCTTGGGAGGATGGTAACGCTGGACAATGCTGCATAAATAAATTTAGTGGTGGTGCTTAATTACAATAGACGCTAACCTGACATGATGCCTGTGTTATTGGAGTATATATGTAATGTTTATGAAATAGAAGTGCAGCACTGCAACAACAATTTTGTTTCACCAACATTACCTATGCATAGGGTCTTTTTTCAGCGGAGTTTTAAGACCTGCTGTGGCTCTGTGGCAAAATACTGGATTGCTCTGCAGAATACTTGGGTTTGATTTCTGCTGGGACCATAACGTATTTATTCTTTGCACTCATTAAATCAACACTGCCGATGTCAGTCTTTCTTAACACCCTTAATTTAAATTAGCAATGTTTATTTTTTTGCGTTCCTCAGTAAATGTGTACTGTGGGGCATACCTGCATATTGTGGCCCTTGGTATACAGGTATGTGCCACACGTGTCTGGAGAAATGGGTTTGACATCGTATGTGGCGGTATTTTTACATTACTCATATTATGAGCAGATAGTCATAAATCGTCAAACCCTCTTTCTTACCCTCCCATACCAACATTAGTCTACTGCAATTAAGGATAGAATCACAAGAGCTACCAGACATAGGTGGCTAGATAGATAGATGCATAGATTGAAATGCTTAAAGCGTCTGCAGTACACACAAAAAAGTGCCTTGAATTTAAAACATGGGAGGGCATTTGGTACGAAAGGTTTTTTTAGTGTTAGAAGTTCGGATCACCAGAGGCACTGAAAGCGCAAGATCTGTCGAGTAATTTCCTTTAAGGTTTATTAACTGTTGTTTCTTCTGACTTTCGCAGGTTATTGAGGGGCTACAATCTATTTTACCCTGCTACCAAAAGCTGTTCTGTGATGCCTTGAGGAACAGCACATCACTGACTGTGCTATGGCTAAACAAGTTCAAGCTGACAGGGCCTGTGGTGCGAAGCATCATTGCTGCGATAAGGGGTGCCAAGCAACTAAAGGAGCTCTCGTGGGCCTGGTGTATGTTTAGCTCTGGCCACGTTCGTGCCGCTGAGGATGCTCTTTCAAAGTACATTGTCAAGACTGACTCACTTCACACCCTCAATGTGGCACATGCACCACTGTTTCGCAACTCACTCACTCTCATCGAGTCACTGAGGAAGAACACAAGCATCGTCAAGCTCCTGGTTGGCTGCTCAGTCTTAAATCGGGGTCAAGCTTCTGAATTTCGGAAATTTCTCGCTGCCAACAGGACACTAAAACATTTGGTCATCTACAATGATTACGTCAAGGGTGTGCTCCATGTGGGGGAAGTATTTGAGGCGCTCATGGAGAACACGACTCTGGAGGTACTCACGCTTGTGGACTTTGAACTGGACCCTATTGTTGCACTGCAGTTTGCCAGGGTGTTGAGCATTAACACCACCCTTCACGTGGCTGGCTTCCCTGGCTGCACATGGGACTACCAGCCCTTGCCAGAGGCAAACGACGCTTACAGAAAGCGTGTTATGTATGTCCTGGAAGGCGAGCATGAGAAGGACTGGCGGGTTTTGCCTCTAGTCAAGGCACTGAGGAACACCAAGTCACTGCGGAAGCTTGTTCTCACTGGATGCTTCACCAATAGCGAGATTCGACAGCTGCTGGAAGCAGCTGCTGCATGCTCATCCCTGCAAGAGCTGACCTTTCACTCAATCAAGATGCTGTCTGTAAAGACATTTTACGAACTGGTGCAGGAGACAGGTGTTAGCAGTAAGGTCCGAGTGGGAACGTGTCATTTACAGCCGGCAGCGTTTGTGTCTGGCCTGCAATCTGGCTGTGACCTCCTGAAAATTGGTCATCACAAGTTCTTCCACCTGAACACGTCGTCCTTTCGTGAAATTGGAACTGCCCTACTGCTGCATGACCATGTCACTTCACTCGAGCTACGGCTCGACACCTGGGACGATGACTTTCTTGAGGAAGACGCATCCACGATTGCCAGCTATCTGTCGAAGACCACTGCTCTGAAGGAGATCTACATGAAATTCAGCAACTTCAGCCAGGATGCGCACCTAATCATTAACGGACTTTCCAAGAACAAGACAATAGAAAAACTTGGAATTGAGGACTGGCTTGTGCGTAGCAAGGACGTAAAAAAATTGTGCACTTGGTTGGTAGACAGCAATAGAGTGTACCATCTTGTTTACCTCTGTGCTCAATATGAAGCACTCAAAGTGCTCCTTGAAGAATTGGCTGATCTGCTCGAAAATAGCTACACCCTTACATATATCCGTGTAGTGGAGTATCCCTCAAACTTTCAGAACTGGCAGGTCGTGAAGCAGTTCCAGCGACGAAACCTTTCGCTCGTTCAGTGTGCTGCCCACTTCGTGTTGGGCTTAACATTAAAGCGGGCAGCAGCTGCGTATGAATTTGTGTCGTGGCACCCTCAGCTTTCATACAAAGTTCAACAGCTGGCATCGCTGAGCCCTGCAGAAGTGAGCCAGAAAATGCTAGAGTGCAATCGTCTTGTGCAGATGCAGTTCTGGAAGCTTGCAGGCATCATCAAAGACGAGCTTGTCTGTAATGAAAGAACTGACGGTCGGAAGCAAATTGACAGTCTGGTGCTCGATGCCTGGTTGCAAGTTCGAAAGTTCTTATTTATCAGTGATGTCTTGGATGAGACAGGAGAGAAGAGGAGGCCTTCCCGCAAACGTAAAAGGAGATAATGCTGGCACCGTGGCTGGGAGAACATGTTGTGATGGGTGATGTTTTATTTGAACTGACTTTGGTGGTGTCCGTTACTGCATAAAGCTCACCCACACAATGTTGTGGCTGTATAGAATTTGCAGTTAAACCTGGCTATAACGAACCTTCATGCAATGAATTCCTTGATATGACAAAGTTTTTCTATTTCTCGTCGTTACTCCATAGAAGCACATGTATTTGCGATCTCTATGTAACAAAGTAACAGCGGAAGACAACCTTGATATAACGAATTTCTGCGGTGAAGGCGAGAATAAAGTTGACGCTCGTATACATTCTGGCAAACCGCCTACAATAAATGGGAAGACAGCGCTATCAAGTAGTTCGTGCTATCAAAGTGCTACAGAAATGCTGTGCACATGCCTGTGTCGCCGCCCCCGAAAGACTTGTCGCCCCGTTTGCAACGATCGCTGAAAGCATCGAAGTCAGTGCAGATATGCTGTGAAAAATAGATGATGATGGTATAAATAGTTCATGTGCGCACTATATAACAAAAATCGCAACTTGGTAAGCCTTTCTTGCAGCTCAAAGAGCCACTGTCGGAGCACTTGGGTGCCTATGTCGCACACATCTCTTGATCGGCCACACAATATAAGTTTAGCTTGCACTCACTCTGTCATATCTTAGGCTACTCGTAGTGAATGCCACCATTACTGATTATGACAGCAATTTGATATAAAAAGCATGGATACCTGTAGCAGCGCCTCGATATACTTGCAAACGAATATTGTGGTAGCAAGCAATTCCGTTCACTTAAGGAGCAAGAGGCCACGCTATTATTAGAAGAGGACGATGCTGATGACAGAGTATTCCCTCTAAATCTGCTGCATGCCCTTCATACAAGGAGCCCTCCTCCAGCTGGCGTTTTTTTTTTCCCTCACTTCAGCGCAATGCATGCCATACATGCCTGTGGAGCGGAGAAGTGTTGACAACATACACACTGTCATATCTCAAGACACGCACAAGCAAAGGGATAGTGAGTAGTGAATTTCGAAAGCGAATTCAAAACAAATGTAATAGTAGTACAACAAAATTGAAGGCTTAAACGAATTTAATACTCTTCTTATAGTTTTCAAATAGTAAGGAAACCTTTTTAAAAATAATCCTAGAACTTCACAACGTTTTATTTGAAATAAGTATTCACGAACTGTCACCAAATATTACTACAATTAAGAAAATTGTGATAAGCTTGTATACAGTAGCGATTAGAGTCTTCAAAATATTTTTCAACCGCATGTCGAAATACCACAGACACTACAGTACTCAAGTTGAAACTCTGTTGCCAACTTTTAAATAAAATTGCAGCATAAATTCAAAATAATTTTGAAGCGAACATCATGCATGCAGCTAAAAATTTATTAGAACAGGCAAAATCATCACAACATATACCCTGACGCAGAGAGCATGTAAAAATCAAGTGTTGAAAGCTGTATCTGTAAGAATAATTTATGTTAACAAAAGACTTGCATCTGTTTTTATTTTTGAAGCTGAATGTAGCCTTAGTCCCTAACTTCAACGATCAAGACAGGAAATGACTGATGTCATGCATCTCCACCATAGTAAAAACAGAGCAAAAGTGCAGTTTGCAGCAAAAATGCTGTATCTGGTAACGGTTATACAGTTAAACCTTGATATAAGGAAATTCATAAATTCCAAAAAAATTTGTTATAGAGAGGATTTTGTTACATGCACATTCACTAGAAAAATTCGGAAAATAAATGAACAAATATAACAAAAGGTGGACTGAAGGCAGAGCTAAACCAAAACATTTATCTAGTGGTAAAGAACTGCGTCTTATTGCTATAGCAATTGTATGGACACTCTCGGTGAGTTTTCGGCATCGCTGCCATGTTCCCTAACAAGTCTAAATCGATAACAAGCCCCCGCGCACTGTAAGATTTATGAGCAGGTAAAAGGGCGCGAGCTCTGCTGAAGCAGAGATCAAATGAGCCAGCCTATTTTTATCACCTGGATAACATCCCCGGAGTGTTAGAACTGTCCTCAAATGCTCCAACAGAGAGGAAACCACCCGTCTTGAACGAGCATAAAAAAACGCGAAGGTGGGAGGATCGCCTGAGTAGCAACAGCGAACTTGGATGTTAAGGGCAATCGTGATCGATTCTTCGGTGGTGACGACATGGCAGTTCACAATAAAAATTAAAAAAAAGTGCTAAAGGAAAAAAAAAAAAGCAAATGTGAATGCGTTGGGGGTCACACCATGTGCGCGCAGTGAAACCATGCACGTGCGCACGGCATCGAAAACGAAGAGCGAATGACATGGACACAGACACGGATACCACGGAAAACTATTCTTTCGGGTGGTACTGCCAATGAAAAAGCACTTTTTGTTTGTTTGTTTGGAGGGGGGATGAGGAAACACATCTGCGTAGGCTCCCGCAACGGCGAGAACAGCGGCAACGCTGGCTCGTCTGCTTTCCTTGCGCCCACTCGTGCGCATTAACAAGCGCTCGCTCTCGCCTAGTGCACCATGCCGTTGCCGCCGCTTCGTGCTTCGTCGACCGCTAGGCACCCCCGGAAGATGCATGCTCGTACCAAAATGCCTAAACCTGGGTGAAATTTCCTAGATTGTCTGTGGGGAAAATTCATTATATTAAGGTTGCTCCCTCTGTTACTTTTGGCTGTCAAGGTTGTCTCCCACTGTTACGTAGAGGTTGCAAATACAATCGCTTCTATGGAGCAATGGCGTGGAATAGAAAAAATTCGTTATGTAAAGGAAGTCGTTATGTGGAGGTTCGTTATAAGCAGGTTTAACTGTAGCATCAGTAGTGTTGCAAATACTTGGGCTTCACTTATAGTAGTAATTCAGGGATTAAAAGAAGAAAATAAACCTTTAGCTGATTCCATCTTTTGCTGCTTCAGGGTTGTCCCATAGGGGCCGATTATTTAAAAAATATTCGGTATTTGATATACGTACCGTTCAATTCGACTAGCGAATGCTATTTGATTCGTTATTCAAATATTTGCACATTCTATGAATGTTGTCGCCACCAATAACCCACCATCTTTTTGTGTAAATGTGATAGGGCATGTGTAATCACGAGGGCTCTTTTTTTTTTTCTGTGCTGTATCTCGCCCCTTATTGAACACGCCCTTGCACATGCCTCAAGGTGTACAAACGGAAAGAAGAAAATGTACCTGGCTACAAGTGATGCCAATTTGTGACATGAAATGGGAATACAAACAGAAGCGTATTCGGTGAAAATTGCTTTGAATCTTGTCATCCTTTTGCAAAAGGGGTCAGTTTTTAGCACATATTTTTTACTCTTAGCTTTCATTAGTAAACTAAGCATAAGCCTGTTCATGAGCACTTACTTGTTTATTATTGCAATATTTGTACAATAATTAATATTAACACAAGGTCAGATAGCACAATCAACTCGGCTTTGATAGAAATGAAATAATGACGTATTCGGTTAGGTGTTTTCAAGCGCTTTGGAGAGCTCTGAAAAGTGGCTGTGTTTTCGGTTGGTAGAAGTTGAGTGACCTTCGGTTGGTTCTTTCAGAACCTCACACAGAGCCTTTGACACAGAGCGCTCCCAACCGCTCTGACTTCGAAGTGAGAGCGAGGCACGATCTGACCAGGAGGACGGATCACGTGACGCAAGCCGGCCACTCACGTGGCTGCCGGCAGGCAAACCAGGTGAGGAATGTGAGCGTGCATTTCGGAAGGGGGCATTGCCTCACTAGCTCGCTGGATTCTGTGCCTACCTGTTGTGCCCCCGTGATCTCCAATGACAGCGCAGCTCTGGCCAACCGGCTTGCCCTTCGCCATCTCCTGACGTTGTGAAGCTCTCGCTGAGTGGTGCCCCGTACTCTGACTCCTTTGACCGAGTCTATTTTTCTCTATCTTCTCTTTACTTCTGTATGTGGGTGTCCTCATCTCTATCCCTTCTGTGCTGTGCTGCTTTGCATGCCTTTTTGTAGTTTTTCTTATTTTGTCTGCCTCGCTGCGCTTTCTCCTGCACACTGAATTTCTGAGTGTCGTACATGTTCACAGCAAGGGGTGCGGTGCCTCAGGGACCGCACCCGCCGAAGTACGGCCAAATGAACGTCTGAATCTTCTGGCTGTAGATACCCGTATTGGAGACGCTTCCGAATGTCTACCGAAAATCTCAAGCATTGCCGGAGTACTTGTACAAGCCTACGAGCCCCGACCGAGCAACTGCGGAGTGGGCGTCATCAAGAGAGTCCCAGTAGACCTTGATCAAGCAGGCATTCTCGCTGCACTTCTTCAAAGAGCTCCAGTCAGATCTGTAAGGTGACTGGGAGCGTCAGAAAACGTCTGCATTGTGTTTGTCACGGAAAGCGCTTCTGAACATGTAATCTTGGGCTATACACAATACCAAGTGTACAAGTACATTAAGGCTCTGAGACAGTACACCAAGTGTCAGTGTTTTGGCCATGTTGCTGGTTCCTGCAGGTTACAGTAAAACCCCGTTAATTCGGACTTCATTCGGAAAGAATGTTCGAACTAAACAAGGATACGAATTATCTTGAGTACGAACAAAACACTTGAAAAATGTCTCCTACACCATCAGACTTTCATTTTTTTTTAAAAGTGTGTGATCGCAGTTTGCTTCACGGACGCAATGTGTGACGAAGTCACAATTTTGCGAAGTTTCTGCACGTGGCTTAGTCCGCGCACATTGTTCGAGGAAAGCATGCATATGTCTTCCAAAACGACTGACGCATGCGCAGCCTCCATCATTGTGTGGCGTGAACGTTCGTCAGCATCACTTACGTCCTCATCAGCCGATTTCCCTTCGCCGTCTAAGACTTTGGCAACGATATCGCTGTCAGTCACTGTGCCGGCAACGGCAACATTGCTGTCAATTGCGAAGTAATCGCCAGGGGGTACATCAACTGGCATGATGCTCACATAGCGGTTGTCTTGCTCTTCGCCGGTTTCCTTATCGGCCACCACACCCGGATCTGCAGCGTCGTGCACGAAGCCACTATGCCTAAAGCAGTTTGCGACTAATGCAGGCGGTGTGTTGTATGTCAGCATGTGGATTGAACTTAGCAGGCTCACTTCGTACTGCTTGTCTGACTCCATGCAGAGCAACATCCGCTCGAGTACCTGTCGTCGATAGTGGCTTTTCACGAACTGTATGATTCCCTGGTCCATCGGCTCCAAAGAAGCCGTTGTGTTCGGAGGCAGGAATAGCAGTTCAATGTTATCGAGCCTGGACACCTTCGTGTAGGCACTACAGTTGTCTAGCACGAACAGCACCTTCCGAGCCTTGGCCGCAAAGCGGTGGTCGAGCTGACGCAGCCAGGCTTGAAAGAGTTCGGCAGTCATTCAAGCCTTTCTGTTGAACCGGTAGTCGACAGGCAGCTGCTTAATATTCTTAAAACATCTTGGCTTCGCAGCCTTCCCGATTACCAGCAGCCGCAGCCGCTCTATGCCGGTCATGTTAGAAGCCAGAAGAACTATCATGTGTTCTGCACTTCGTTTTTCACCAATGATCGGGTCCCTGGTAAACGCAATTGTCTTGTCAGGCAGAGCCTTACAGAACAGCGCTGTTTCATCAGCGTTAAAACTGTTGCATGGCTCTTACATAGAAAAGCACGCGGATAGTCCAGACCGCCAGTCCTGCACAACTACTCGTCAACCACACCTTTTTCACCAAACACATTGCGGAACACCAGCCCGTGTGGCTTCCTGAAGCGGTCGAGCCAGCCTTCCGACGCACTGAAGGAGTCAATGTTGGTGATCATCGCGAACTTCTCTGCTTGTGCGCAGATAAGGGGGACGCTCAAGTGCGTAATGGCAATCCAGCGCAGCAGCGCTTCTTCTAGCTTGGGATGCGCTGTCTTTTGAAGCCTCTTCCTTTGGTCGCCAAATATGTCCCCTGTCATACGATTGCATAATCTGCTCTTCGTCCTTCATGAAAGTGCTCTGCGTGCTTTTCTTCACATTGAACTTTTCCAGCACTTCTTTTTGAAGTGCTCCCGCTTGCAACGCCTTTAATATTTTCACCTTTGCAGCCAAACCCTTTGCTTTGTACTTCGCCCTCTTCGCTGCTGGAGTTGGGGTGGCTCGGGCTGCAGGAAACGGAGCAGAGCTATCCCAGCGTCACCTGTGCGGTGGTCATGCACGAGTGCACGAAGTAGACAACACACACACACGCACACACACACACACATACACACGGTGATAAAAATGAAATAAAAACTGGCAAACTTTTGAAAAAACAGGAAACAGTAAGACTAGATGTCAATGATCACGTACAGATAAATATTTTAAAGCACACTAGAGGTGAGCAATCCAATTCAACTGTTTCGCAAACGGGTTCGACGCACAAAAAAAAAAAAAAAGGAAAGGCAAATTCGTGGGTTGCCCGTTGCTGATGACAGTAGCGATGCACTTCCTTTCATTTTGGTTATTTAAGCCACCATGTGTGTTTTTTTTTTGTGCCTCCGAGATGTACTACCCATGGGCGAAGTTTGAATCTCAGAGGCCGCAATCTGATACCAAAGTTGTTTAGATGCGCCGTGGATTTCCCCGACAGAATCTGTTGCTGCTTCCCGGTCGTGACTCACTAGCAGTCGGGCATTCGAGTTAACCGAAGCGCTGCAGAATTTGTCCGAATTAACGAGAGTTTTCAGTCATAAAACAATGTACATTTTGGACGGGACCAGACGCCGTGGCCAAATTAATCAAAATTCTGAATTAACCGAAATTCCGAATGAACGGGGGTCGAATTAACAAGATTTTACTGTAGAGGCACGGTGTTCAGGCTGCGATAGCAACCACGATCGATCTGCATGTGGAAATGAGGAACCACAGTGTCCTAACTGCAAGAAAAAACATGAATCAACGTCCACTCACTGCCCCATTCTGCGCAAAGAGAAGCGCATCTGCAAATATAAGGTGGAAAACAACGTTGGGTACTGAATGGCGAAGGACGTGCTACGCCATCAACAGAAACCTCGAAGTGGTGGCCAAGTAATAATGCCCACAGCAGACAAAAGAACATCAGCAAATCCGGCAAGGGTCGACGACACAACTTAGTTTCTGTCTCTACCGCAGGTCCATCAGATCTTTCTCCTTCAATCAATCAATCAGTTTATTATCATGTCATAAAAGGATGTTACAGGGAGTAAAATATACAGAAGAGGGTCCCAAAGTATAAGACTGCAACGTGACCCTTGGTGATCATTACAAATAATAAAAGCACAAGCAGCTATTAGAATTGTAGAAGCAAAAATATATAAAGCAGAATGAAAACAAAAAGGCATGGAATCAAAAACAAATAATACAGCATAAAACAACACAAACAAGATGATAGATCAACTATTTAACAGGTACTCTTTTAATGAGTTTTTAAATGAAAATAAAGAAACTTTGCATTATAGCGAAGTTGGCAAATTATTCCATATGGTGATGGTACAGAAGAGAGAAGTTGATTTGCCATAGTTAGTACGAACCTTAAGAAGTAAAAAGTTATTATTAGCCGCGAACCTGGTTGTGTTATTATTAACTAACATCTTAGGATCAATGAAATTAGCAGAAAGTTGATTTCTTATTTGTTTATGCAAAAACATAATTAGATTAAACCTGAATAGATAGTTAACAGTTAAGATTTTATTGCATTGAAGAAGGGTAGCGGCGCTACTGTCGCGAGAACAGTTAAAAATAGCGCGAATAGCTCGATGTTGTAGATGTTGTACTGATGAAAGATGACACTGGTAAGTATTCCCCCATGATGCGATGCCATAAGTGATATGAGAATAAATGAATGCGAAGTAAAGTGAAAGGAGTGCTTTATGAGAAAAATATGAGCGAGCTTTGAGTAATGCGTGAATGCCGAATGCTGCCGTTTTTCTAATGTGAGCAATATTGAGAGCGAAGTTAAGGTTAGCGTCGAGGTGAACGCCAAAAAAAGATACACTGTCGCTGATATTAATCAAATGAGAGTCAACTGTGAGCTGTGGTGAGGAAGTTAACTTGCGTTGAGCTGATCTAAAAACCATAAACTTAGATTTATTTGGATTAATGATTAAGAAATTTTCCTGGCACCATTTTGACACACTACAAAGTACAGCATTTAATTTATTAGTGACATTGTCAATACATCTATCAGCAATGGAAATGGTAGTATCATCAGCATATAAAATGCAGTGAGCCATGTGTATAATGTCAGGAAGGTCATTAATGAAAAGTAAAAAAAGTAACGGACCCGGTAATGACCCTTGAGGAACCCCTTGATTTATTGTTTTAGTAGAAGAAAATGAGCCCGATATGTAAACAGTATGCTTTCGGTTAAGGAGGTAACTGTTTAAAAATTTGAGGGATGGACCTGTAATACCGTATGATTCGAGTTTCTTGAATAAAATGAGATGATTGATGGTATCGAATGCCTTTGTGAAGTCTAAGAAAACTGACCCTACTACAAATCCTGCGTCTATAGAGTGTTTGATGAAGTCTGATAGGGAAAGAATAGCAAGGTTAGTAGAACTTCCAGCGTGAAAGCCTAATTGACAGGGCTTCAGTATATTAAATTGATTAAGGTACTTGTTTAGCCGAGTTATTAACAGTTTTTCGATGACTTTGCTCAGGGAAGAAAGAATACAGATGGGGCGATAGTTAGAAATAGATTGCTTGTCACCCTTTTTAATGATCGGAAGGACTTTAGCTATTTTTAGAGAAGTAGGGAAACTGCCATGCTTGAACGCAAGGTTTATAATTATAGAAAGTGGTTCAGAAATAATGTCTACTGCAAGTTTTAAGTGTCGTGCTGAGATTTTATCTATACCAGGGCCGGTTTCTTTGAGACTTTTGATTGCTGTAGAAACATCATCACGGCTCACGGGGAAAAGAAAAAAAGAATGATTACAACGCTGCAGATTACAGCAAGAACTGCTATGTTTTTCACTAAAAATTTCGAAAAAATAATTACTAAAAGCATCAGCAACACTTTCAGGGTTATTATGTGTAACGCCTTTATATATGACTGTCTGCAAAGGTGAACTAGGTATTGATCGATTTAGAAAATCGTTTAAGAGTTGCCATTGTCTTTTAGAGTTGTTTTTTTCACTAGATATTTGGTCATCATAATATTTTTTCTTGGCATTTTTCAAGAGACACGAAAGAACATTCGAGTATTTTTTATAGCGTGAAGCTAAAGCAGTGTTAAATGGTTGTTTCTTGACTTTTCTGTACAGGTTATCTTTTTTACGCATACATTTTAGCAGTCGCTCAGATAACCATGGGTTCTTAAGATATTTGTACCTCTTTTTACATTTGACTGTTTTAGTACATTCTTCTACGGCTTTAAGGAAAAGGGAAGAAAACTTGTTGAATGCCTGGTCTACATTGCATAAGGACGTAACACTGGACCAATCAGTTTTAATAATGGCATTGAAAAACAATTCCTGGTCCAGTACGGAAGTAACACGCGTGGGTGGATCAAATGGCTTCATGATGTTGAAAGCAAGAAATATGGGATAATGATCAGCGATGCTCACATCAATTACTCCTGCAGAGGGAGAGGGCGAGAAATTACAGATGGCATGATCAAGCAATGAAGCAGCACCATAAATAGGACATCTAGTAGTGACGCTGCTTGATTTTCTCTCTCCTGTTCTTGTTAACGACCCAGCCACCCAGTCTGAAGAACATAAGAGAAAAGGCAACCATATTTGAATGGAATGCCTGTAGTCTCTGCTGTCGTCTTTCTGACTTCAGACAATTTGTATACAAACACCGCTTTCCGGTGATTGTTATCTCAGAGTCCCGAGTGCGCACCTGTATTTGTCTTTCAGGATACACCATCACAGTCTCATCGACAAGAACAGATGTCAGTAAAGTTCTTTAAGTTGTTCACAATGATTTAACATTCGATGTTCACTACATATCAGCTGACACGTCCAATGACTATGCTGCAGTGACATTGAAGATGGACACTTTGGTGTTTACGGTGATTGCGGCATACATACCACCTCGAACTACATTTGATGTGGACAGACTGCAGGACATAATAGATTAAACACCTGAACCTCACATACTAACCCGAGGACTTCAATGCACATCACCTAGCCTTGGGCGGCAGGAGAGGACTTTAGTGCACGGTAGACACCTTTTTGGCCTCGCACATCGAAACAACCTGGTGATTATTAATGATGGGCGGCCAACTTTCTTAAAGAACGACCGATGCAGCGCACTGGATGTCATCATGATCTCCTCCTGCTTCATGTCTAGGGGTGACCTGGCTTGCTGACATCGAAAGTCATGGGACTGATCACGTGCCCACCTAAATCTCATTGGGCTATCCTACGCTGAACACAAAGCGAAGGACGCTTCAGTCCTGGGATGTATATAATGTTGCAGTTGAAGACGCAGAGCCATCTAAAATGACATATGAGGAATTTGGGGCTGCTCTGCATCGAGCAAAACAAAGCAGCACTAAACATCTAGAACCACCTCAAACTCGTTCAACAGTCGACGTGGAGTATGAGAGGCCACGAGCTATTTGTTGCCGATCTGAAAGACGTGCTCGTAGGACATTGTCTGCAGATGACATCCGTGAGGCTAGGTGAATGTAAAAGCAAATTAAATGTCACCGGGACAAGCTAGATAAGAAGCAATGGCAGCTTTTCTATTCAAAACTAGACCCAAGAAAGCCGCTGTCAAGAATAGGGAGTATTTTCGTTATCTGAAAACCCCATCGACCAACTGCATTCCTAGCTCAGTTGCTTTGCCTCGTAACAGGAGCAAGTTGGACATGGCGGAGGCTTTCTGCTCTAAGATTATTGCAGTAGCAGCTCTAGCAACTATCATGGAATTTCTTGGTGCTTCGACACTGGTAAACAAAGCGTCATCTCCTGGACCTGATTGTGTCAGCCACACCGAGTTAACCCATTTAGGCGACAAGGCAAAGACGCGTCTACTTGCCATATTTAATGCTAGTTTGGAGAGTGGCCGTCTTGAACCTTCCTGGAAACGGGCTCGCGTTATTCCTATTCTAAAGCCTGGCAGGCCTCTCACGGAATTCAACTCCTATCGCCCCATTGTTATTTTCAGCTGCATGGGAAAGCTCATGAAGAAGGTGGTGTCGAAACACATGGAGTGGTTGCTTATTAACAGGAATGCATACCCTCAGCAAATGTCTGGGTTTAGAAAACGTCGCAGTAGCATTGACATTGTATTCAATCTCATCAACTGCATAAAGTTGAACAAAGCGACCGGCAACATCATATCAGCTTATTCCTCGACGCCAAGGGAGTGTTCGATAACTTCACTCATGAGTCTATCCTTCATACCCTGAAGTCATTAGGTGTAGGAGGTTGTATGTACCGCTGGATCTTGGACTACCTCAGGGACAAGACAGTCTACATGTCCACCAAAGGAGGTGACAAAGCTCCACACACAGTGCATCAAGGAGTTCTCCAAGGGGGGTGTTGTCAGTCCAATCTTATTCAACATCTCTCTCATCGGACTAGAAAAGTTCATGTCTGCATCGGTAGAAATCTCACTTTATGCAGATGACACTTGTATATGGATCAGTGGTCGCAACAGACGTGTTGTACGAGCAAGATTGCAGAAAGCTGTCAACTCATTCGAAAGATTCTTATTCGAATGAGGTCTAACCATGTCGCCAGAAGAGTGTGCCGCCAATGCTTTTATGAGGTGTGATGTCTCACGTTACACATTAAAGGTAGCGCATTCTCCCATTTGGTACGGGACAAATCATAAGTTTCTTGGAGTGACAATCGACCGGTTAATGACGCGGATTTCCCACGTTCGGATATTAAAGGAAAAAGTTGCGTCATACGCGAGCGTCTTTCGCTTGTTATCAGGCAATGCCGGTGGCTGTTCAATAATGCCAAGTTACGAATGTGTACCGCTCTCTGTGAAGGTCTTCTACGTTTATAGCCTTCCTGGGATACATGGAATTCCTCAAACCATCATACAAGCACTGACTGGAGCTCAAGCAAAGGCCCTAAGGGTGTGCCTTGGCCTATCAAAGAACACATCAAGCATCGAAAACTTTGCTGAAAGTAGGCACCTTTTAGCTCCTGTTCTTCTGCAGCAGGAGTTTCTTCAAGTCCACTTGGATTATGCCACCAGAGTGCCGGATTATCCGCTTGCTTCAGGCAGTAGTCTAGGCCCATGGCAGAACAGCTCCAGTGCGATAGACTCCGCAAAAGTGCTACTGACATTTTTGCGGGCCACAGGCTTGAAAAAAAAGTTGTAAATAGTGCAGGGCGTGTGAGTGACTGTTATGCGTGTATGGAACTATATGTGTTGTGTGTTTATCATTGTATATATCATTGTTATCCCCTGGCACATGGGGTAGCCCGTCAGGTGAAAAACCAGGCAAACCTCTTCAGCTCCCCATTAAAATAACTCTCTCTCTCTCTCCTTACCCCCATCCCTCGTGAGCCACTGTTGAGGTGTGGCACTATGATACAGACAGTTACGGGGCTCACTTTTATCTTCTTTTCTCTCTTTTAAGAATCACTTACACACAGGGGGCATAGCCAGGCACGTGGTACTTTGTGCACGTGCGTTGTTAGTGGCGTTTTCGGGTGTGTGTGGGGCAAATTCACATCTACAAAGCCATAAATGCACCATGTCGATTAACAAGGTGGCTAGCAAAAGCGGTGGAAATGTCAATGCTGTCATTACAGCAGCTTGCAGACAGCCCAGTGATTTGCCTTGAAGATAGCAGCTCGGACGAGTACAATCGCCTGATTTATGTGCCGAGTGCAGAAGGCTTTCGCTACATCCAGACATGTTCAGAGAAAGCGAAAGAGGAGAATATAAGAAAGGTCAAATAAGACAGTGATACCCACTGAACTGATCAGCGCCAAATTGTTGACGCGGCGCAGCAACGTTTACTCGGAAGCTTCCCGCACTGGCTGCACAGTGGCGCTACAGGCACGCTCACCAAGGAGGCGGAGGGGGGGGGGGCGTGCGCGTCCAGAAACCGTAGCTGCTCTGAGCGCTTTGAGATTGCCGACGTATTCAGTTAGTACGCTGCCTCTCGCGCTCTGATTTAAAGTTGCCTCTGCATCTGCCGACACTGAGTCAGAGGACCAGAGCTGCCAACCGAATGCGCCATAACACAGCAAATTACAAATAAGTACCTTTCACAATTCAGCACATGCCAGACAGAAAATGCAGTGACTGCCAATACATTGGGAAAATTCTGGCCTAAATCACGAGTAGCAACCTGGCTAAATTATAGTTTTTAGTATCAATAAAATCTATTGTCTAAGAAGCTTAGGAAGCATCCATTTTCTGGCTCAAGTAGAGTCAAATGCCTGCATACCCTGGGTGCTTTCTTGCAAAAAAATAATACAAATAAATACAGGACCTCACCTCGACATCTAAAATTTGCTTAAACAAAAAGAGAATGCAATATAATTGTTTTTGCCAGAGAATTTCTAATATGAGATGATTAAATAAGGCTGTCATAAGGTGTGCTGAAAATGAAAAAAAAAATTACTTGCTATTGTACACTGTTTGGCAAATGTGAAGTATAGTTACTACAGCTATGTGAATCGCTATATATATTTGTCACGGCAATAACACATGCTGCACAAGACACCACATTCAGATGTTTTTTGGCCTTTGGGGATAAAAACATCTTTTTACTTAGAATAAATTTAGCATATAAATGACAAGCCTGGCAACTACGTACATGCATAATGCCACGGGTGTTTCATTTCGATGAAGTCGGGTTTCACCCACAGAAACTCTAACCAACACTTGGTGCAGGTGGTGCAGAAGTGTTTCGCAAGCTTCGCAATAACTTGAGATCACACTGTTGGGTTCATGGACAGGACACGAATACTCTAGAGCTTACGCAGTCGCCAGCAATTAGCCTGGAATTTTTCATAGCACATGTATAAAAGCAGACGCGCTGTACTGCTTATGAGATTATTGATGGCCTGACGCCCTGTTTATCGCTATCAGGGCAGACTATGTATTGCTAGTAGTTTGACTTGCCATTTCTCAGGCAAAGTTTGGCTGAAATAAAATTATTAGTTTTTATGTCTCTCCATGAGATGTTTACACATATAAGTCCAGAAAGTTGAAATTTCATTTTTTTTATAAATGTGCAGATGTACAAGTGCCAAATTACGAAATGTACAACTAACAGCTCTGAATTCATTTGGCAAAGCAGAGCAGTATACAAGTGCCACTGTTAATGAAGACTATGTGACAAAGCCCACTGATCCTTAGAGCAGCTTGCGTCTCTAGCTCTCTAGCATGGTGCGTGAGAGAAGGTTTCGAGACAAATGTCAAAATGAAGCAAAGCCGTGCTGCTCACAATGGCCTGCTTGTGGTTGCCCATTTTGTCTGAATAATAATGGGATGTAAAGAGCTCTTATAATTGCACAGCAGAAGTCCGTGAACACCATTATTGTTAAAAAGTTTGACATAGCCATAACACAGCAAATAAATTGGGAGGACAGGCTGAATGGCTTACCCTATAAAGTTTTAATATTTCAAAATATCACCTGCAAAAGCATTCAATTCAAGGGTTATGGACGTGCTAGAAATTGAAGTCATTGCACACTGGAAAGTACACCCAGCACTCAAAAAGTTGAGATGGGTTCGACCTTGCTTTCACCTCTGATGACAGTACTGTGGTGTAACTGTGCTTGCAGTTGACTTAACAGGATAAATTTTGCTTGTTTTAGGATAAGTGAAAGTGAAAACATCTAGCGCTACAAGGTTTATTTGCATTTTTTTTTTATTCAAAGTAAATATGAAATCTCAATAGGAGTAGGTTTGCTCATGGGTTCATTTCACACTTTCAAATGTTAGCGAAAATTAGGTTGCACAACAGTTTCTTGTCACGCAGAATTAGAAATTGTGCATACTAAACGCCTTCAGAAAAAGTCCACAAAGGAAGATGCTGTCCTCTTTGCAGTACTTGTCCACACAGAGACGAGCAGCAGTACCTGGCAGCATTCTAGCTCCAATTACCGATCCACATTGGTTCAGCGGCCAGCTCCTAAGTAGGAGAGAAAAGAGCAATATGGTTTTAAATTCCGAGTTCGGTGACCTGTTGTCTAGCATCATTTTTACTTTTGTTTTCAGGACAGTTGCACGCGAAGAAGTCTGCACCTTAAGGTGCGTCAACATCACAGAGCAAGTCACAAAGATAGCATAACATCGAGTACAAGAACCGACAGCTGCACAAGCGGCTGAATCAAAGAGTGAACTCAAGGAATGGAAGCATAGGGAGGTTTGCATTGTTAAAGAAATTGTGCTGTCAATTATGAAGACTTATAGCACTTGGCTTACCCAGGTACTTATTTCACTGTCTAATTGTACTGAGAATGAAATCAATTACGCACTCCAGATGGACACACAAAGTGTTACAATGACCAACACTTCCTCTAGAAAGATGCCTGCCGCATGAGAAGAAAAACAGCTGCCACACCCTTTCTCTCCTTATTTTTAAAATGTTCTCAATCGCTAGCGTCACCTGTGGCGGACGGTGCAACAACACAACACTTTGCATAACCTCCGAAACAGTGGTGCACAGTTGCAGGTCTCTAACAACTCTCGACTGACGCGCCATGGGCCGCAGATGAAAAACGCTTAGCTGGTACCGCCTGCCACCGTGATAATAGTGTCCCTCGCGAGCGCTACCGCGCAGAGCTTGTTTAAAACTGAAGGCAGGCCAACTCCGCTGGGAGCGCGAGCCATTCCTCAGGCATCTTTCTAGAGGAGGCATTGCAATGACATGTATTTATTTATAAACGAACTGATGGAAATGGAAGAAGGGTTGTTATGCCAACACATAGTTACTCCGGAGACAAGACCCTTTCATCCTTCCCATCACTTTGGCATAGAGATATCAATCGTGGGCTTACACTCTTCACAAAATACATTGCTCCAGTGTTTGTACTGATATATGCATGGCCATGGAAGACAATGCTGTGTGGCGGAGTGTAGCCGTAGATGACCGAGCAGCTCGAGATAGAGGCACTGAAGACCACTTGATAAGCTATAAAAATGTCATTTCCAAACCCAATAAGGACACATTTTTTCATTACTAGCGTGTTGTTGCTACTGTGTCATTGTTGCACTCAACTTGTTAGAAGCACCTTTGGTGGTTTAAATACCTATAAATAAAGCAGTTATAGTTAAAGCAGTAAACAAGACACTACAGTAACAGTAGCAACATACATCAATGGTGCCCTAACCAGCGGTTGAGTATCAGTTAGTGGTAACGCCTCAGCAACTTGCGTTTCAACGAAATGACAAAGAGAAGGTAACAAGGGTGTCACTGTCTGGGATGTTTTCATGATTATATATACCCTTCATGCACGAATTATGATGTACTGTCTGCAAAAGCGTCAGATTCAAATTACATGCTTCCAAGGCACTCAGTATTACCTTTCAAGAAAAAAAATTGATGTATTACTTGGTGCAAGTAACTGAATATATAGTTATACCGCAATCAATCAGCTTCAGTTCTTGCCTAAAATAATCAAGTATTAAATATTACACCCAAAATATGTGCATAGCTTGCTTTTCGGTGGCGTTCATTTCTAGCGAAGAAAAATCACGGCATATCCACAAAGTGAATGATGATGAGTGGGGCAAAGCGTTCGTCAGCCCGTCTGTACTTCTGTCCGTTCGTTCTTGCTTCCGTCCATCTGTGCAACCATCCATGTGCCCATCCCTTGTGCGTGTGACCATCCATCCGCGCGTCTGTCCATCTGTTCGTCCGTTTTCTAGTCTGTCCGTGCGTCCATCTTGTGAATATTCCAAGTACAGCCATCTCTCATCTCGCATCCCGGTGGTTGCGTACGACAACAACGGAGGATGAACAGACCCATGCCTTAAAGAGCTTCAGCCCTGGTACGCGGCACATAAAACGATCATGGAACATGGTAGTGGCTCCCATAATGTGATCCTCTGCAGCAATATGCAGCACAAAGAAGTTAAATGACCGCTAGTTGTCCACTCAGGAAGCCAGCACGAATGTGCACACTGAGTTTAAGGCTATTTGAAGAAACACGTGGTGCATGACACACCTCCAAAGTTGATGTCGACAACTGTTCACACTGCCACTGAAGGGAATACAACTGTTGTATGACATCCTCACTGATAAACTGCAGAGCTAAAATACATTAGTGACCATCTTGGGACTCTCTGCAGCAAGCATCCAGTTATCAGTGCTTCTCATGATGCACTTTATCTTGCCTGCCTCATCTAGAGATAAGTTGATGAGCTTGCAAAGAGGTAGCAACAAAAGGGAGAAGGCAGGGAGGTTAACCAGAAAGACATCCGGTTGGCTACCCTACACTGGAGGATTAGGGAAGGGGACAAGAAAGGTGAGAAAGAGGAAAGAGAGGGAAAAGAAAAAAAAAAGGGGAGAGACTTAGTAATTTCACTGCAGCGTGTAGAACTCTACCGCATGTCAGAGGCGTTCACACAAGCCTGTCTTTCTCAGGTAACACAGCAGGGCCTTCACTGCCTTGTGGGCTGTCGAGGCATGTGAACGGTGCTGTAATAGCACCTGCACAGAAAGAGGCCGATCATCCAGTCGCCACATTGCGTTGGCAAGTACTTGTCTATCTGAGGCAAATCGAGGACAGTGGCACAGCAGGTGTTCGATATTTTCGTCGATGCGCAAACATCACACGCCGCACTGTCAGTAATTCCGATTAACGTGGTATAAGCTTTTGTGAAAGCAACTCCCAGCCAAAGGCGACAGGGAAGCGAACCTTCACGTCGATGTAGGCTGGGTGGAGGCCGGAGTTGTAGTGAAGAGTTGAGCTCGTGCAGTCTTGTACGTCGTATGCTTGGTGTGTTCCACTCAGCCAGTCTGAGACTGCGGGCCAGTCGACGAATCTGCCTCGCCGCATCCGCTCTTGAAAGCAGAATTGGAACGCTGTTTGCTTCTTCATGTGACGTGCGAGCAGCATGATCTGCAGAATCATTTCCGCCTTTACCACAATGCCCTGGTAACCACTGAAAGACGATGTCGTGGCCTTCTTGTATTAAAAAGTGGTGAAGTTTCATGGTATGCAGAAAAATAGCACATATTCGCTGGAGCTTTTGAAAGTCTAATCCTTTCTCGTACCCTGCTGTGTAAGTGCTGCTGAGCAGGAAGTTGATGCAGAGCAGGCCAGCCAAATATCTCTGTGAAAGTTGTAGTAAAATCCGACTAGGTAGTGAAATCGCTTCGATGATTTCTATACCATAGTTTTGCTACGTCGGTCAAGCAGAAGTTCACATTTGCAAGCTGTTGCTGGCGGTCCACTTATCATAAGCATCTGTAGTGCCCTGAGACAGTCCTGAATAAGACATCGCGAAAGGTTGTGGTAGTGTCTGGCTGCACAGTTCCAGCAGTTACATGGTGAGGACCGGATGTACTCTGCAGCTCCAGTTCAAGTGAGGGTGTTTTACAGGCAGGAGCTGGCCCGAAGAGCGCTGGTTTACGAAAAGGGCAAACTAGAAGCAGACCAGCAATCACAGTCATGTTTATTTTTTCTCTTGCTCGAGCCTTGCCTGCACTCTCTTTATTACAAAATAAATAAATAAATAAAATGTATAGCGCATTCTTTGCATTATTATTTTGTTTCTCTTGTTTTTTTACACTTTCTGCATGTGGTGTGCTGTACTGGTTTCCTGAGTCTCTTTCAGGCTTATATACAAAGGTTATTACTCAGAGAGACCATTGAAAGCTTTTCGTAAACGGAGTACATTTGAGTTATCACAAGTTTCCCATAACTAGTGGCAATAAATATGTCAGTCATTGATAGTTCGGGCAGCTTCTAAAGATTTGCGAGGGTGTGAACAGCATCCCAAGAAAAAATCTTGCTCCATAAGTATGTTTGTAAAACACTATGGCTATGTTTAATGCACAAGATATACAAAAAAAGTTGGTTAGAAATGTACAGTTGTGATCATGTTCCCACAATAGACAAAACTAGAATAAATGCAACTGTTAGAACATTTGTAGTATTAAATCGGTAAAACTCCATCCTTCTATTTTACTTTTTGCAGCCCTTGGAGAACTGTTCAGTTTAATAATTTTCGAAGTTTTATACACCGAAACCACAATATTGTTACGCAGCCTGACTTTAGTTTGGGTGCAATTGGGTTTCACTCAGAGAAACTGCTAGAATCGCTCAACGCAGGCAGCACGGCAATGTTTCGGAAGCTTCACGATTGCTTCACATTGTTTCATTAAAACTACACACAAAACATGACAAGCAAAGCTTGTAGGTTTTATACCAGACATATATATAGGACACATTCTACCAATAGTCAAATTATCTGTAATAGAACTTAAAGGCGGGCACATTGGAATTTATCTATAATTGGGCAGCGCACAGAAGAGAAAACACACAAAAAAAATGAAACAGGACAAGTGCTGGTCTAATAGCTGAAAATTTAATTGAAGGAAAGCATATATATATATATGTATACAGAAAATCATGCATTACGCAAGAATACATCTGATTGATGAAACAAATTTGTTGCGCTGATAAAGCAATAGATGGCTGGCTAATGCAATTGCCAATACGCTTCGCCACGTGGTAAGTCTCCGCGATCTCACATGTTCGTGGATTATGGTGGCTATAGATGATTGATGTCTGCTCAAAAGGAGAAGTACAATCGCACTCACCGCAATGACTGGTGAGACATTACTTCAACTTTTAAAGGGGCCCTGAAACACTTTTTCAAGTAATCGTGTAATGAATTAACTGGAAGAGCTTATTGTCTTACGAATCCAATGCTGCGAAATTTTAAGAATCTGTCCAGTGCGAGTGAAGTTGCAAAAATTTGTCGCATGCTGCAATTGCATTCTCTCTTGTTTCGTTCTAACAAAAGCGCTGGAAGCTAAGCAGGGAGTGATGGCAGGGTCAAAGAGAACACGTCACGTGTGCCTTGTGACCTTGAGCTCTTTTTGTTTTGTTTTTTTCTTGATATGCACGCTTTTTTCAGGGTGATAGCACGCACACGCGTGAACAAGTCGCGGCCTCCCGTGGCGGTCTTCGTAACGACCGAGTGCGTCATGTTCAAATAGCAATTGTAGTGCTATTGTTTCTCAGTCATGAAAAACCAACCAGCCCAACACCTCACTTTGCTAACGCTCAAGTATACACTGTTCGACAAATTATATAAGCATATCACGAGGCAAAGAATAGAACAAATCTCTCAGATCAATGGACAGCGCCTCAGCCACTTCTTTAAAGTTCGATACTAAAAAAATTCACAATCAGCTCAGAATTCTTGGTGTGAACCGGGTCATTAATTCGAAGCAAATTGAGCTTTTCTTGCAGAGAAGGTGCCACATTTTTTTTCTTTTTTGCCGAGAACCCTTTTCCGAAATAATTACTCGGAACGGCATATTATCCTTGTGCGTCTTGCAACTAAAGAACATGTCTAAAGCCAATTTATCTGTTTTCATTATCTGTTTAGCCAAATCATGCAACAGAAGGCTGTTGCACAAGTTTTTTGCCTTTCTCTCCTGCACATACCAAAGTAGTCAAGAGGTCTGTCGCAGGAATGCGGCTTTTTAATTTCTAAAAGAAGTCGTGTTTTCACCTCTTGAAGAAGAACTTTGAGCAACATGTTTTGCGACTGCAGGCAGCAGATTACCCGCAACGAATGGTTATAACCATTGCGGAATCGCTGTGTAAGGACCTAGAGAAACAAAATAGGCAGCGTATTGACACTTCTTCGCAGCAGCGTAAAACGACTGTTGTCCCCAATACCCATGGTGTGACACACAATCTTTAAAAAAAAAAAAATGGAAATAAGGTGGGTGTCCGAGTGGTCATGTCTGCTCCAGAGAAACTGTCAAAGATACGTCGCAAAACTTGTCCTCTTCCGAAGGAAATGAAAGGTTGCCAAATTATATGCATCGCAATAAGTATGCCGAGTGTGCACTGTCGGTTGTTTACAGAGTCTCTTTTTCATGTGGTCTTGGTTATGAGGGAACTGCCGAAATATGCATAAATGACAGGTGAAAAGAGCACCATATTAAGTGCAAAAGGGTACCGATGGTCACTTGGCGATCCACTGTGACAAGTGCAATTGTGTGCCGTATTTCGATAACACCTGCGTTTTATATCGGGACAGAGATTTACCCACATGTTTGATTGTAGAAGCAGCAGAAATGACACGTGATGATTTTGAGTGTGTTGGTGCACCTTCTATCTCGCTTACGTGGAAAGAACATTTTTTTTTGATGCTGTGTGGATAATAACCGGCACTGCACGTGTGCTTTTTGTTGTTCTGCGTTGTATTATTTTTTCTATTTCACCTCCTTTATGTGCTGTGACGTTTGCAGTAAACGTTTAGTTGACATTAAGCACTTGTGTTGTGTGTTCTGTGTAATAGTTGCTGCACTTCCTACCGAGATGGATTAATACCAACTGGCCCGATACAATTGCCTATTCAGTAAATGCTGTTAAGCTTTCAGAAGAAAGTGAAGCTTTAGAATTGACCCAAGCAGGGTTGATAGCAGTGCCACCCACACTGATTCCAAAATTATTCAATCTGTATCATAACTATTGTCATTAGGGTGGTCCTGAGGGCATACGCTGGACGTACATAAAGCTAACCAAGCATTTCACACGATCTGGCATAAAAGAGGACACAAAAGAAAATACGTACAATCATATCATAAGTGCTGGAATAATAAAGCAAAATTTAGGCACCTGACTCAACAAACTCCTGCACTGTTGGAGGTCATTCACATGGACATCGAAGAACTTTGTAAAAGAATCCAGAGGTTATGACTAGTGAAAGAATGGTGGCAGCAAAAGTGGAAAAGGGGATACCAACAGTCTGATCTACTTTCTAAACTAAAAGATGTCTGACAAAGCAGTAATAATCAGAGGCAGTCAACCAGCTTTACGCAGTCATGAGCCAAATAAACAGAAAAACCGAAAGTGAATTGCACTCCAGTTTACTGCTTGATGTCATTCAGCAATTAATGGGCAAGCTAATTGAGACATGAATAAGTACTTAAGCATATGTGCCCTTACTTCCCAGAAGGATGGAAGAGCTGCCTTTAAATGATCTAGCTCATCATGTAGCCCTAAAAAGCATCTCTGGGATGTGCACCACTTCTTATTTATTTTATTTATTTTTACACACCGCAGCTTCAATGACGCCATTGCAGGAGTGGGAAAAAAAAACAAGAACAAATAAACATTCTTGAACAGACTTTTCACTGCTCGTGCAAAGCAACATTTTTACCAGCCAAGTAAGAAGGATGAAGCTAAGTACAGAAAAAAGTGAAAAAGAACTTCGAGGAAAAAAAAAAAAACACAATACAGCTGTACCAAGAATTGAGGTTCGGGACTTGGTGCTAGTGATGAAAGAATTGTGAAACTTGGGAGCGAGTCACTGAGCATCATTCTCTTTTGTCAAAATGGCAAGCCAGCGGGGACATTTAAAGATTGCACTGTACGTTGGCCTAAATAATACCTTCAAATTAGCCACACAGCCAGCATTTTAAAGGAGTACGATACCACTTTTTAAAGGCGAGTCTACCCTGCCATAGGAATTTTAGGTATACAAAGATGACTCTGAGCAAGTGTGAAGCAAATAAAGTCGTGATAAGAGATATTATTTCTTATATTAAAGTAAGCTTTCCCGTGGCACACCTTTTGACGCTGACACAAGCTTGACATCAGGCAACTATAGGGACTTCATGCTGCAATTTGGCTAGTTGTGATGACATCGGGTACCAAAATGGCCACTCAGCGTCACAAGAACTATCGGAATGACTGCTTGTGGGTCGGCAATGAAGGCACAGTTTGGAGCAGCCGAGCGACTTTCCCGATTTCTCGTACAAGTACGTGACGAGAAGCTCATATTGTGTTACAATATCAGGGCACTGTAGAAATGAAAACTAGCTTTTAAAACCATAGCGTTATTACTTTTGCTGAGTGCGCTCGCACTTTGCAGTACACTTTGGAGATCCTTGAAGGCTAGGCCTTTAATTTGATGCAAGAAAATAAAAATTTTGCAGCCAGTACTCCTTTATCATTTCAGGAGGTTTAAAAACAAGTCCTGAAAGAGTGAAGCAAGCTTGAGCAGTTGCAAAGGACTAATGATTTCTTGCATAGGTAACTGGGAGGACTGAGGTAATAAAATGAAGAACTTAGAAATGACGGCAAGAAGAGTGCTTTGTCTCTGTATTACGTGCAGTCTCTTTACATACCACCTGTTAGCAACTAGTGCGATAGACCAAAATTAGCATGCATTAAAAGAAAAAAAAAGTGAACTCACTTTCCCAAGACTAACAAAAGTTCAGTGTGTTTTTAAACAATGCAAACAAATATGTGTCAACAGTGTAGCATTATACCATTTCGTTATTTACATCTTTGAGTACATTTGTGGTAATAATGTGAGCATAATTCGCATAAATCACACATTACCTGTCAACATAAGGCGTAATAATGTTTTTTTATTCTTTTGCATGGAGCGAAAACTGGCACTGTTGCAAAGGGCCCGGGTAATTTTTGAGCAAGGTGCTACAAACAGAATGATATAAACTGATCATTCACAACCCTGCAGCTAGCGTAGCATTCACTGTCACGTGCACTCGGCATACTATCATAATTTCTTTGCCTTTCGCTAACATGCATTGTCTGTAAAAAGGAATGCCGAGGAGGGCGCATTTATGAACACTGAGCCAAACTTAGCTGCAGCTGGTTATTTTTTCATTCACAGGACATTTGTCAATTAATCTACTTGTGATGAATGCAAGCTCAAACCAATAACGATTCCGGATTGCAGTTTTGATCTGTACACGCTGCAGTCTTTTCCACACTAACAGTAGTGATTTGCAGCATGTTGCTTACTCTGGGCACTCGATCGTAAAGATTCACACACGCCTTCAACAAAATACACAGCAGTTCACAGTGAAGCCTCAATAAATGCGTGCATGCTTTTTTGTATTTATAGCTTTCCGCAAGCACTCGAAGCTGTGGGTTTCAATTAAGTTTTTTTTTCTTACAATAACTCTACTAAAATTATTTCACTTACACTGATTCCACAGCAGCGCGATAGGCTGCTCTCGCTGGGTGGCGTAGTAACCGAAGCTGCGCCTGCCCGAATATCGTTTCGCAAACTTGACTGCACCAGCAGTCTCGTAAACAAGCATTTTATGGCTCTGCAATTTGGAACTGAAAAAAAAAAAGAAGAGAAACCAAGGATCGGAAGGCGTTTTTCAGATCGCCTCGGCGAACACAGCGCGCTTATTTAGTCTTGCCTGGCAGGCACCTGCAGTGCTAATACATCATCGCGGATGCCGCCATGTTTGCTGACGAAATCACGCACGAACCGATAAGCTCGCAGCTTCCGTAAGAGCACATGGCGCAGTGCATTGTGTGTGTGTGTGTGTGCGGGGGAGGGGCGGGGGAGTCTATTCACTCTTCTTTGGGTGGGCCTGCGCCCCAGGAGCCACCGTGGGCGCATTCGCGGATGTGCCCCCCGCCTCAAAAAATAAAATAAAAATAAAAAAGTACTTTTGCGTTGGCAGTGTCACCACAGAACACCTCACGCTTTGAATTAGCGTCACATAGGTGGAGACACGCTGGATATGGAGGGCGCTTTACTGAATAGTTTTGCTCACCCGCAGGTCGCGGGATCAAATCCCGGCTGTGGCGGCTGATGGAGGCGAAAATGCTGTAGGCCCGTGTGCTCAGATTTGGATGCACGTTAAAGAACCCCAGGTGGTCGAAATGTCTGGAGCCCTCCACTACAGCGTCTCTCATAATCATATGGTGGTTTTGGGACGTTAAACTCCACATATCATCATTGCTGAATAGTTTTCCGTGGTATCCGTCTCGTTCTCTCTGCGTTTTCAACCCTGCGTGCGTGCATGGCTTCATTTCGCGCGCATGGTGTGGCGCCCGACGACGTTCAGCTTTGCTTTTTTTTTAAATGCTGACAACTGTGTCGTTACTACCGAGAGGATGTCTGAATAGGCGCTGATGGAAACTCTCCGAGACCACGGAGACAATGACGGATATTCGGAGGTCAACTCGTCACGTGTTTGCGCCGCGAGTTTGAGGAACTGTAGCCTTTCGCGATAAGCCGTTTAGCTCAGGCAACAACACGACGGTGCATTGAATGCATTGCAATGAATGCGAGAGCAAAAAATTGTAATGTTTAGCAAGTAAAATAAGGCTGGCAGCCAACTCTTTTAGATGGGATATCGTGGAACTCCTACAAAACGCTGGTGTAAGGAAATACGGCCGCTCCACGAAGAAGGGCTCTTTTCACACAGCCTCTTCGCGTTGAAAACGCATTGATGCTTGCCGAGGTAGCACGCACGCCAGCGACCGTGAGCGCGCCTTTAACATCAAAGTTTACAGTTGCTACTCGAGCCAGCCACCTCCCCTCCAGGGGCGGCGCCAGGATGTTTTTACTGGGGGGGCAACCACGAAAAGTGAGTTCCTCCGGGGGGGCAAGCTAGCTCTTCTCCTACTAGGTTTTCAATATATGCTTCCGGGCACTTGGGTGGGCATAAGGGGGGCAGGCGAGAATTTTGGGGGGGCTCCAGCCCACCCTTGCCCCCCCCCCCCCTGGCGCCGCCCCTGCTCCCCTCCCACGCGCGTCTTTTTATGGTCGTTCAATACGGTGGTTTCGCTTCTGTTTGAGCACTAAACAACAGAACCCTCGACGGGGTGATGTTATCGAATGCGCCCTCCAGGTGATAGAGATGGGCCCGCTCGTTTCATCTTTGCTTCAGCAGCGCTCGCGCGCTTTTCCCGCTGTTAAAGTTACGATGCGTGGTGGCATATTGCCAACTTTGACTTGTTAGGAAACACATCGGTGACTGCAAAAACTTGCCGAGTGTGTCCATATAATTGCTATCGCAATAATAATGGAGTTTTTACCGCTAAATAAGTGCTTGCGGTTAGTTTCGCATTCAGCTCCCTTTTTGTTTAATTTGTGTGTTTATTTTTCAAACTTCGCACTGAACCCGCATTTAGCGAAATCTTCTTTATAACGAATGTTCCAGAATTTTGTCAATTTCTTTATATCCAGGTTTAAATGTATATGTCTTTGTAGGCTGGTTCTCGCCCACACGTGTCTGATCACTAAATGCAGTTATGGCAATCTTGTACAATACTGTCTCTTGCACTGGTTTTGTCATTGTTGATTAAGATCATACTAGGTTTGTTACTTGCTTATTATGGCACTATTGTGGTATCACTGGTGGGAGGCACTACTTTTGTACAGTCACAACATCTATTTACCACCTGCTTACTTTTTTACAGTATTCCTGACAAATCCTATTTTACCACTTCTGTAGTTTTTTCTGTTTGACTCATTATTTGAATCATTGTTACAATACTGCAAAAAGTGAAAATATTTACTGACCCACTGTGTCAGTTATCCGGTTAGAAGTTGGGCTGCTAATACACAAGTCGCAGGCTGGATTGCCAGCCACGGCAATTGCATTTCGTATAAGCTGATGTGAATGAACACTTTTTTTTTGTTTTACATAGCTGCAGGCGCATGTTAAGGAAACTCCAGGTTGTGAACATTAATCCAAAGTGATTTACGGTCGCGTGTGATTTAGGAAATCAAACCTTAGAATTCGCTTTTACTGAGGAATTCCTGTGTTTCAGCAGCTTAGTACTGCTCAGTCCGCAATGCTCTTAGCATCAGTGGATTGATCTTAAGCTTTATGAAAAAAAAAAACAAGAAAAAAACGCATAGAGATGTTTCTTAGCTGCAAGTACTAAGTGATGATGTCAGTGGTGTATGGCAATTTGCTTGCTAATCGTTTAATGAGTTAATTGATTATTTTATTTATAGATCAGAATTGATGCCTATCTACAATTCGGTGCTATTGGACCTGTTTGCTGTTTCAAGGGAGCTATGTTGTCTAGAAACCAGTGTCATTGTTGTAGATAAGTGCATATGCTTCCTGTGTTAAGCCAAACTTGTCAAAAATGGATGAGCAAACTGTAAACCGTGCTGGATAATTTGGAATAGGTAGTGATGACTGGCAGTAGCAAGATGCAAGCAGAAAAAAAAAAGGTGATTACGAAAATCTCGCTGGTAGGTATAATGTGTCATGCTCATATGACGCACTTAAAGTTCCGAAATGATTAATCGAACATTAAATTTGCTCTTTGAGTCGTGGCTGTCCCTATCGCAAGAACAGTTGCAAACCCATAGACAGGGGCGCATCCAGCCACTCATTTTAGGAGGGGGTGGTGGTCAACTAAAGTAACACCGGAAAGGGGGACGTGGTCATGACTTTTCTGCTTTTACTAGCAGAAAAAACCCTTCATGGCACAAATAAACACTGTTAATATGTGCTCACCGTGGTTTCACTTCTTTGTCCTAATTGCTGATAGGAGGTGAACTACGAGCACTGAATTGAGGGGAAGGGGCGCTGACACACAATTTCGGGGGGAGGACGCGGGGGGTGATCTTTCTTACTGCCCCCTCCCCCCCCTACCCTCTGGATCTGCCAAGGCTCATAGATGTCTAGTGTGCCTGTGTAATCGTGGTTGGGGAGTGACTGTTAGCAAACACATGTACTGTTACTTTTGTTCAGAGTGTTGTAGCTTTAACTGCAGTATCATTTAGTGCTGCATATTCAGTGATGCATGTTTTTCTGTGAAGCTGTAGTCACACTGTAAATAGATCATTAAAGCCAACTGGTGGGCAAGTTGGTACAGCATATATTTTGGTTTAAGGCACAGAATCACGAGGATGCAGCGTCCTGCGAAATCTTACAGGCTTGTAGGAAATCGCACATTATTAAGCGAAACGATTTATGGGTAACAAGATGGCAATAGGTTGCGACATTTGTATGTGCTCATTTTAGTTTCAGTCTTCCTACATTGCAGTAAGAGGCGATGCATAAAAATTGAGAATGTAGTACCTTGCCTTTGTTCTCGTGGTTCTGTACGCTAACCTGAATATGCATGAGTTTGGGTTGTAAGCTTACTGTAAATATGCGAGCATGCGTCTCTCATGAGCAAGTCGAAAGAACTGGCAAAGTGGTTGGGGCGCTTTTCTGAAAAGTTACCTCTTCTAAAAGCATTTGTTGCCATCAACGCAGAACGTTCGCTTTAGAAGAGGAATTTTTTTTAAAGGTTGCCTTCTACGATGAGGAAATCGCCGCATGTTAACCTTATAACAGAGTCGTGCACGCCCCGCCACGGTGGTCTAGTGGCTAAGGTACTCGACTGCTGACCCGCAGGTCGCGGGATCAAATCCCGGCTGTGGCGGCTGCATTTCCGATGGAGGCGGAAATGTTGTAGGCCCGTGTACTCAGATTTGGGGGCACGTCAAAGAACCCCAGGTGGTCAAAATTTCCGGAGCCCTCCACTACGGCGTCTCTTATAATCAAATGGTGGTTTTGGGACGTTAAACCCCACAAATCAATCAGAATCGTGCATTATGGTGCTTTTCACTGAAGGCTCCCTGGGCGCCGCCGTAGTCTTTTCTGAGCTGTTGTTGAAGTGCGTGACTTCCCAAAAAATACACGGCCGACGCTATGACGTCAGCTTTGGTACTCCCGCGCAACAACCCAGAAAGGAGAACATTCTCCTATCGGATAAAAAGGTCCATAGGAAGGACCCCGTCTTTTTAGTGGATTTGAAAAAAAAAAGAAACGATGATTCGCCGAAATATCTGTCTGAGGAATGCAGACACACGCAGTCCTGCTATGCAGAAAGATCCCGCTGGCGGAACTTTCTTGCCCACCAGCCCCTGTAGTGAGGGAGGGAATTGTGGGCGCAGTGTTCGTAGTGACGTCACGCTGCAAACAGGGAAAGGTCTATGTGCAGCATTATTCGGCGTATCTAGCGGCTTGGGACTAAATCGTGGGCTCTGAAACGTCAGGTCTGCACAAAAGAATGGTGTTCATAGAGCAAGAAGGTTCACGTCCGTAAAGAAGAAAAAGAGGGGGAATTCAGTAGTGCTTTGAAGGGCGGAATTGTAGGCGAATGTAATAGACGATAGAACTCGGTCCCGATTGGAGTGGTCTCATCCGAGTTGACGTTTACAGCATCGTGCTCCTTAACGTGCAAATCAATCTTATGCACAATAGCGATTTTCGCTTGGTCTCCATGAAAGTGCTGGTGCCATGACTGGTATACTGAATGCAAAACCTCCGATACGAAGACCAATCTTAAACTTCGTTGCACATTCTTTTGGAACAAAGAACATTTGTAGAAGCACTTACATGGCTTCAATGTGTGTTATTCTGGTTGCAAATGTGAAGTACAGGGGAGGGGGGACAATAGTTCCTA